ATACTCATAATCACATCAAAGTTTTACCGTGGTAGTAAATAATATATACAAATAATCACATCAAAGTTTTACTGTGGTAGTAAATAATATATACTCATAATCACATCAAAGTTTTACCGTGGTAGTAAATAATATATACACATAATCACATGAAAGTTTTACCATGGTAGTAAATAATATATACTCATAATCACATCAAAGTTTTACCTTGGTAGTAAATAATATATACACACAATCACATCAAAGTTTTACTGTGGTAATAAATAATATATACTCATAATCACATCAAAGTTTTACCGTGGTAGTAAATAATATATACTCATAATCACATCAAAGTTTTACCGTGGTAATAAATAATATATACTCATAATCACATCAAAGTTTTACCGTGGTAGTAAATAATATATACTCATGATCACATCAAAGTTTTACCGTGGTAGTAAATAATATATACTCATAATCACATCAAAGTTTTACTGTGGTAGTAAATAATATATACTCATAATCACATCAAAGTTTTACCGTGGTAGTAAATAATATATACACACATTGAATGTTCTGTGCTAATTTTATGTGAAATTCCATCATAGATTTATTTTTAATTCAGTTTCAGGGCAAGCCTGTGGGAATCGTCCAGCAAATCATTGTTAAGAGTGCAGTGTCACCATGGACACAAGATCTTAATTTAATGGATGCGTTCAGAGGCCCATTGGCAGAAGCTTTCCAAATTGTAGAGACAGTCAGTAATTTTCATGTTTCCTCTGAGTAAGTTATGTACTCTGTGGTCAATGTAACAATTTATGTGAGAAATATATAAATGTATTTGTTAGTGTTACCTTTTGTGCAGGAACAACAGTGTGAGATCTTTAAGTGACTTATGTTTACAAGTGTATTTGTTAGTGTTACCTTTTATGCAGGAAAAACAGTGTGAGATCTTTAAGTGACTTATGTTTACAAGTGTATTTGATAGTGTTACCTTTTGTGCAGGAACAGTGTGAGATCTTCAAGTGTGTTTACAAGTGTATTTGATAGTGTTACCTTTTGTGCAGGAACAACAGTGTGA